TGGTTACCAATATTATGACAATACGAAAAAATGAAAATAAAAAATCAATGATCTCTATGTAAGTGATACTTAATTATATTAATGTTATATTTTGGTTTTAAAATTTTCATAAAAAAAAACTTACTGCATTTAGATGATTGGAAAATGCATACAATGATTTTTTTTTTTTTTAACTAGAACAAATAAGTGTGAATGAGAAGGAAATATTGCGTTATCAATACCGTAACTTCTATACTTTTTTCAAACTAGATCAAATAAAAAAATGGTTCATCATTTTTGTAACACCATTCATCTTCACTAATATGATGAGTGATTCAATGGTAACAATCTCCTTGGAGCCGACATGAAAAAACGTTACTTCTAGATTGGACATGAGATCTTCAATGTGCATTAAGCTAAGAACTTTTCTTTTATAAGTGAGAATGAAGCTACGATGTTCTAAACTAGCTATACATAGCTGGAGGGGGGGGTGAGGAGAAGAGATGGAGGGGGTTCTGCTGGAACCAGGAAGATGGAATTACATACATACCTTCATCACCACCATAAAACTTCTAAAAGCAATAATCCACTGGCCCTTCAGATAATTTAGCACGTATGGAATACCAGCAAAATACATTGTTTAACAATTAAAATCTTAGTTATATACAGTCCACTACCTTTATATCAAACATGTTATCAGTTAAGTTTAAATATGTCATATACACACAAATAGAAGGCATACTTAAACAAAAATGGCTCGAATCAAGTTTATCAAGGAAGCGTATTCAAACTAAATCTAAAAGTTGGTTTCCGTTTGAAAGAGAAGTTTCTTTAAGAACTTATTATTTATTATTTATTAGAAAACGAAGAAAAATTTATAATGCTCTAAAAGATCATGCATTCATTTCTATAGAGCACTACCCGCAAAAAGGAGAGCGTTAAATAAGTGTTATGAACTTTCTTGTAATGTCGGATACTAATATTATTACAATATGAAACAATGAAAAAAAATCGGTGATATGGGTCTAAGTAATATTTCAATATATTAATGTTACGTTTGGTTTTTTGGAATTTGAATGAAATGCAAAAACAAATATAATGGTTTTATATAAGAAATTGTTTAAAAATGGATGAAAAGGAATACATTGATTGTAGAATCAATACAATGGGTTCTAGACTTTTGTCCACTCCCATTCCCAATCTGCTACAATGTGAGACGGTACCCACCCCCTATAAAACCCAATACTTCCTTCTATGACTGAATATATATATATATATATATATATATATATATATGTGTGTGTGTGTGTGTGTGTGTGTGTGTGTGTGTGTGTGTGTGTGTGTGTGTGTGTGTGTGTGTGTGTGTTTGTGTGTGTGTGTGTGTGTGCTTTACTCGTTCGATTATAAATTTAGCTATGTATTGAATACATTTATGATAATGTACCAGTAATAGGCATTGTACCAATAGCAGACACTTTTCAACTCATTAAGATGTAGTAAGCTTTATATGCCCAAAAGAGCCATACATTAGTTAGCTAGAACACTTAAGAGGGTAATGTCTTAATCTCAAGTGATCTTACCCCACAATAGTCGATTGGTTGATTTTATGATGGAGCAAGGCTGGATCTTTGTTTCAGGGATGTTTCCTGATCACTTTTCTTTCGGAGATGAGTTTGAAATTTTGATTCATCCATTTGTAGTTTGCCATTTCCTTGTTTAAAACTGTAGAGAATTTATTTCGAATGTTTTAAATTCTGTAAAAAACTGTTGACCCCGGGACCTGAATGTCTGTTACTAGTTGCAAAATACGCTCAGGTTTTCATTAATAACAAACTGATTGACTTTAGAAATGGTAAAAAACTAAATTTGCTCTCAATTAAACACACTTGCAAAGATCCACCGTCAGGACTAAAGTTATGGCTATCATTTCTGTTTAAACTTCTGTATTGAGATATATTACAATCTGTCACATTCAAGGATTATAGTAATAATGATATAGAGTAGATCATTCATACTCTGCACAATAAATAAAAATAATAAACACCAATATAATAATACTAAAGTAAATGTATATAAACTAAAAGATACTAAAATAAAGAAAAGTAAACTAATCTAACAAAATAAATACTTAAATACAAGTATGCTTTTATAAAATATTTACAATATTCAGTCACTCAAGATCTCCTAGCCAAGCTTTTCCTCACACTCGTGGATTCTAGGAGATCCCAGCGTCTTCCACTCAGCCGCATGGAGGTTGAGCAGAGACACAATAACCAGACATACATGACTTCAGTGGAGAATCTGACCATTGCCAGAACTCCAATATATTCTTACAAAACGTCTCTGGGCCACTGCCGCTTCAACCTTCGAGGAGGATTGTAGGGATGAATAGTGCTAGAGAGGGATTGTGCAACTGGATTTGGATGATATGAAAGGTTTTGGTGGAATTTGAAAAATATTTGAGGGATACGGTCTAGGACAAATGGGATATTAAGGTCATGGTGTATATCGCCTTAAACTTATTCTTTGGTTAGCTTAGGGTTTGGTTGGTAACATAGAACGGAGCATCAACTATTTTTCGAAGGACTCTGGACTGAAAGGATTGAATGCGTTTGATGTTATAAAATTTTGCTGTCCCAGTCCGTAGGTTCAAATAGGTTTCAGTATTGTCTTGTAGATCATTAGTTTGTTGTCAATTAAAAGTTGAGATTTTATGTTCAGTAGTATATACAACTGGCTATATCGTCGGTTGAGTTCTTGTGCTTAGAGTCTTGTCTGTGGATTCCATGTCTTCGGTCTAGAAGAAAGCCTAGATACCGGACTATGTCTGAGTAAGGAAGCTGGATGGAATTAAAGTGTACTGGTGGACAGGAATTGCGGCGGAGTGTAAAGGTAATATGTTTGGATTTCGACTCATTCATTTTAATTCGCCATTCATCACACCAGTGCTCTATAAGGGAGAGGTGTCTTTGTAGATTTAAGCATGATATTTCAGGATCTGAGTTAGATGATAGGATTGCGGTGTCATCAGCAAATGTTGCAAGGAAGGTATCGGAATGAGCAGGGATGTCAGCGGTAAAGATCATGCAAAGCACGGGACCCAAGACGCTGCCCTGGAGAACACCGGCTTTAATTGGATAAATATCGGAAGGTGCCGTTCCACAGCGTACTCGAAAGGAGCGATCGGAGAGCTAGGTTCGAGCTAGGATAGTTATACGGACTGAGGGAGAATGGCTAAAATTAATTTTGAGAATTTCACTTAGTGTCTATTACCGGTACATTTACCTTAGATACAAAATTTTTATTAGGTTAAAAGACAATAATGTATTATAAATAATTTAGTTGTTTCATCCTCCATCATAAATTAATTATTTCTGTTGAGTTGATATAATCGTTTAAGGCGATATTGCTACTAAAATTAATCAGAGCTGTTTCTGCCTGGAATGGTAACCCCCGCTTGAAAGCACTCAATCGGCCTCGTTCGTATGATTGGAAAACCATGGGATTTTTTTTTTTTTCCTTTTATGCCCTATCTGAAGTTTCAATTTGCCCTACAGCACTCACTATCCCATGCCCTATTATATTATTGATGAGATGCAGTTATTATTAATTCATCGTATCACACCAAAGCCTGAAGTTGGTATTACTGAATTATGTTTTAAAAAAAAGTGTTATTTATCACTAGAGAGCGAATTTTGCGTGAATTAAAAATCCTGTCACTTCTATGTAAGCGTGTTTTCAGCCAAAATGACTGCAATAAATTACTTAAAAGCTTTAATATTTTTTTCGATGACCTGAAATGTATAATAATATGTATAAATGCATAAACACATTTTTAATTAACAAAAAAAATAGTTAAAAATAATGATTTTTCCATTACTCATCATGCAAAGTAATATTGAAAATGTGTTTTTTTATTAATATATCTATTACAGGAATTAATCCGCATTTATTAATTACGAAATAAAAGTTTATATTCCAAAAATTTACTTCTTCATGGAAATAATTGACGCAATTAGCAGGTTTCTTTATTTAAAACATAAATTTCAGGACTAAAAACAATTACTTCTTTATTTAAAAAATACGAATTAATTTATGTGATTAAGATCTTAACTTAATCAGAGTTCTATTGTCACTTTAGATCATGAACAAACGGAAAATCAATATTTTTAGCAAATAGAATAGAAAATAAACTTTATTCTGGGACGATATCAACTTAGAATAACAATAATGAACAGTTAAAAAAAAATACACACTGGCCAAAAACTAACCTAATAAAGATTCAAAGAATACATACAACTTAAACAACAATACGTATATGACTAAAAATAAAATAAAATCTTCTCAACTATACTTATAATTGTATTTGAAAAACAACAAAAAAAAAAGGAAAAAAAACATTACATGTTTATTTTTTTTTTAGAAAGAAAACATCTGTTTATGTATTTATATTTATTATTATATATTCCAGGTCATGGAATTTTATTAATTTTTTTTCTTTCATTAAATTGATATAATTAGATATTTAGTTTAACGTAAAATATAATATATTTTACGTATAATGTATTGAATCAGACTCTTTGAAGAGTTTGTGCTAAATTACATAAAAAATTAATTTTAAATGGCAAAAAAGATCTGTTTTACGATCAAACAAGATAATAAAGGATATTTTATTTTAAATGTGCTATTCAAGATCGGCATAGATCTGTTTATAACCTGTATTAATGTTTGAATTGACCGTTGATGTTTTTCCTTAAACAGAAAAAAAAGATAAATCCTGAAATTCCGGTCCTAATCATCAATTATGCCTTAAATAATGAAAATGAAAATTTTCTAGACGATAAAGTGAATTGGAAATCATGTTTTATTAAATGAATTTTTTTTTTATGAAATTAGAAATATATTATCATAATAAATCTTATCCAACGACAGCCATTATGGAATTATGAAAAACAGTCGTCAGAGTGCGCTGCAACTGCTCCTATAAATACCCGAGACGCGGCTTGCACGGTGCACTACAAGATGGAGCCTGTTGGAGTTCGTATCATGTTGGTGAAGCTGACCAGCTCGGAGCGCTGCTTCTTCGTCTCTCTTCTCATCGGCTTCTCTTTGATCTTCCTCCTGGAGCTCACAGTCCCATTGGCGATCTACAGGGAAGTCACTGCGATGAAGGATACCATCTACAATCCTGGACTGGCTCCTAAAACTCCAGGTAACGATTCAGGTTTAATCTTTGTGCTGGGTATTAGACAGAATAGAACCGACGATATTTCGAATGCTGTGAGTTGGATCGGAATCTTCGCTTTTCTCTCTGTCGTGATGTTAATGATGTGGAACAAGCTGAAGACCATGATGGTGCTATCATATATCGGAATCTATCCCTTGAGACATAGTCTTCTGGGTAACTTGAAGACCAAAGATCTGGTTGAAGGACTCAGAAAGGCTAGAGTGCAACCTGTTCCACACCATATTTCACCTGATCCTATGGTACATTTATGAATATTGATGGTTGAATTAATGTCGAAATATTCATTTTACATGTTTTGTTCAGCAAGTTAAAAAATCCAAAAAAAAAAAAAAAATCAGATATACTTATTATGTGAGGAACATCATCTAACTCCTTTTGGTAAAAAAACCTAAAATTTCTGCATCTGCGATTAATTCATTCAAGTCTTACTGGAATCTACAGGAATCAACTTCTACAACTTTCATTTAAAAAAAAAATATATAAACAAGATTTTTCATAATTCAATTATTTTTTAATATTAGTGATCATATAGAATTTTGTTTTACTGTTTATGTAATATTTTAGATCCTTAAAAATTTTTCATTTGTATAGTGTTTTTTAGAATAATACCATTGTTTTTGTATTACCTCAAATATTAAATTATAATCATGACCTTAGGAGTTTGTAATAAAATCACATAATAAATGAAGATATAAAATTATACATATATATTTTATTATTATAAAAACTCACCTTTCCTTATTATGCATCCTTGATTGATTAATTAAAATTTATATCCGAAAATAGGGCAATGGAAGCAAATTTTCTTGATTTTTATTATCTGTTTTGAAGAAAAGAGGTAAGTAATAAGAAAATAAATCTGAGGTAAGTAATATAAAATATTCAAAATATCCTCAAATTGGTTAAATAAGACAATTATTTTATCACAGTGATACATTTATCTATTGGTCAGAATAAATTTAAATCAAAGTTATTCTTAGTTACTGATAATGATTTTTTTTTTATTATCAGTAATCATAACTGTTTAATAATAACATATAAATAATTTTTTATGTAGTTGAAAATAAAACAATTATAAACATTGATTAATGTTAGTATACATTATTTTAAATTTAGGATCAATTATAGCAAATCAGTGATAAGATTCTCTTTAATGAATTTATTGTTATGAAATAGATTTAGTTCAATATTATATGAAACTTTAAAGTATTGCTAACAAAATTTACTTTTGTGATTTTCAAACCAGATTAGTTGAAAGTTAAAATTTTCAACTTCGGGTGCCAAAAAATAAACTTAATAATTTTGGTGAATTATTGATTATAGTAATAATAGCAAATAATAAATAAGTTATTATTAATAGCTATTTAAATTGAAATGTAAAAGAAAACTTGTTTAACAATATATATAAATAGTAATATAGGGACCTATAAATTGTGATATACTATATTATATATTTGAGATAATAAATAGTGTAAATCAGCATCGGAGTGATATAAGATTCTTTTAAAGTATTACTTCTCAATCTGGCATAGTTATAAATCTTTATGCAAAGAGATTTGGGTGTCAAAGAAAAAACTTAATATTCATTACTCTTTTTTTATTTACATATAATTTTCAACTTCGTGCGCCAAAAAATAAACTTAATAATTTTGGTGAATTATTGATTATAGTAATAATAAATAAGTTATTATTAATAGCTATTTAAATTGAAATGTAAAAGAGAGTTAGTTTAAAAAATATATAAATAGTAATATAGGAACTTATAAATTGTGATATACTAAATTCTATATTTGAGACAATATATATTTAAAGTATTTATTGAATGATTCTGATTGTATACACATGTAAGCCGTATACTATTCAAAACTTTATTATTCATTGCTTGTTTGAAGCGTTACAGTTTCTGATAACTGCATTACTTCTCAAAATGGAATAGTTAGAATCTTTATGCAATCTTGAATGAAATCTTTATGCACAGAGATTTGGGTGTCAAAGAAAAAACTTAATACTCATTACTCTTTTTTTATTTACATATAATCATTAATTACCAGTCATAAAATTAAATATGAATCAATTATCAAGAACACAACCAGGTTTCCTTATATGTCTTTCAAAACTAAGAGCTTTAAAGGTTTATGATATTAACAAAAACTAAATTAATTTTGTTTTCAAATTAGTTGAGAGATATATTCGAATAAAAGAAATCTATATAGTTTCATAAAGTTATTATGGTATTAAAATATTCACAATAATTATATAGATTATCAATAAGGAGTATTGATCTTCTATTAAGTAATATGTGATCTATTTGAATGCTAGTGAAAGGCATTGAGGGTAAGTGTTATTTTGAAAATATTTATCCATCAAATGCTAAAATAAGTGGTAAAGTCACTAATGAAATTTAGTATGAAAGTTAAATATTTAATAATTTCACTTAAGGTCATTAATACTGTTAATCTGTGATTATAAAGATATTTTCATTTTTTATTATGGTTAGATAAGAAGTTAAGAAATACTGTATTTGTTTAATTTTTGAAGAAATTTTCAAAGATAGAATAAACATTATAACATGCCTTTATGAGAGCTCCAATAGTAATGAAAAATGGTGATAATATTAACAGATAGAGAAACTCATCTAACTCAGATCAAGAATATAATTTATATCTCTTCAAAAAGGATATGGTTGTAGAAAATATTTATATTAATTTTCAAAAATATAAAACAACATTTCACAATTCATCTAACATTCACAATTTAATTATTTTATAGACTTATATCATTTTCAACTGTATAATGTAATTTAGAACAAATCAGACCCACATTTTTATATTTTTAGAACCGACATTATTTTTAAAATAAAAAAAATTAATAAATAAATTGTAATACTGTTACAAATAATAATAAATAAATTAAGGGGTGAATTCCATATTTATTCTCTGATCGTCCATTTTATTTTTCAACAATTACATATATAAATACATAAAATATAATATACATTTACATCTTAAACGTTTACCACTGAGCAACACCTGATAATTCTGATGCTAAATTATCTGTAAGCTATTGAATTTCTTTCTAAAGCGATTATTTTCAAGTTCATATTCATATATCATATAATATATGTTCATTATTTTCACGCATGATTAAATTTTATTGAAGGAAATTATTTTAATTCATAATAATACAATAAATTACAAATGAAATTCAACTGCCAATTAAAATATATTTGACAGGCATTGGAGCTGTACTATCGGATGGAACGAAAAACACTTTCTTTGGCAGGCAACTTTCTAATAGCAATCAAAAGTTGCCCTTCTAAATTAACAAAAAAAAAAAAAAAAAAAATAGTTACATAATTATATCTTGAGATCCCACAATCGGATTCAAAATAAGTTTTTTATACAAAAAAATTAAATATTTCTCGGGAATAGTTTTACATTTTTTTGGTAAAATATTATTTTAATAACTATCAATAAACTCTTATTTACTATAACAACAATAATACGAAGTTTGGTTGCTTTAAATGTATACCCTCGACATATGTTGAAGCTAAACAGCTCGTTCGATTTTGATTTTTTTAAAGTTAGAGAAAATGTACAGATAGTATACATAATTTTAAATTATAAATTATGGTTTCACTGTATAATATAAATTCCAGTGTTGGTACTAGAATGGTTCAAAATGGATTTTATCAGATTCCGTCTACTTCTTTCACCTACTTCTGTCACATTATCACCTTTTACCACTTCATAATCTTTTTTCTTGAAAAGGCTATGAAGATAATTTAATTTATATAAATTATTTAATTAACCAATACAATTGACAAAGACTCGATACTGATCTTATTTGGCAGAATTTTTCTGTGATATGAATTCTGAAATGTATAAAAAAAAATCCATTGTTATATTAATCAGAATTATATTTTAAATTAAAAATCGATGGTGCAATTCTTAATTAAAATGTAAACTTTATTTTGTCCGATGGAATTTATAAACAATTGATGAAATAGCGGGGTGAGAACAAAAACAGCATTGTATCTTGCAAGTATTCAGTTATGAATTGGATCCATTGTATAAACCTAGTGCTTATTTTTCGATTGATTTCGCTAACATTCCACCAAGTAAATTGGCTCATTTGTTTGAAAAGAAATAATTTAATAACGCAAAGTACATGTATGATGAAGCTACTATTATATATTTTATGTAACATAAATAAAATCAATTTAAGTAACACTTTTAGATAGGTTAATATATAATTAAAAACTTTCCTTAATCACTTATGAATAATTAAAAATCTGAATTGCTGAAAATTTGGGGACAAGAAGTATTCATTTTAATTATTGAAAATCATTTTACTTAATAAAACTTTACTTCAATTTTATAGTCAACTTATAAAATACCCAGAATGACTCAGAAAATGTCAAGCAAAAATTGATCGAAATTTATGTTTCTCCCTCAAAATTTGGTGCAGAAAATTTATAATTACACCGCATTCTAGGCATAGTATAGGCACAGTATTGACGGATTTATACGTTTTGAGGTACCCTGAGTCGAAATGACCAAGTCCCGAAAAATGGTCTGTGTGTCTGTGTGTTTGTATGTTAGCAGTCTAGCTCAAAAACGAAAAGTCCTATGAAACTGATATCACGTATTTAAGATAGGTATATGCCTTAGATGTGACGGCAACTTTTTCCTTAAAATCGGCTAACCGGAAGTGCCACTTTATATCAACGCTGAAACACATTTCCACAGTTTTCTCAAAAACGGCTCTAACGATTTTGATTAAACTCGGTGTATCATTGTATAATTAAGTGGTCTTTAATATAAATTAGGTCTTATCCCCATAGATGTCACTTTACAGGGCTTAAATGCCCTTCATATACGTCTTCCTCTAAAGTACCTTTAATATGGTTTATTTTAAAAAGATAATTATTTCGCATTATTCAGAGTTACGAAAAAAAAATGCTAAATATAACTTTTGAAAGAATTCGATAAGTTAATAAAGGAGAAATTTCAAGTGATCATCATCTCATATTAGGATGACTTCTGAAAGAGTTTTCAGAGTCTGGTCTTATTAAAGCGACACAGTGAAAGATAAATTAGCTACTCCATGATCTATTTCCTAGTGAACTTTGCTATTCAACAAAACAAATATGGAATTCAGTTATACGCAACATCTTCTAAACAAGCAGAATTATTCATTATACCTGAAATTAACATTATAAAAGTTAAAGTACTTTTCAGTCACCTCCTTTTTTATAAGGGATATATCATTTTCAGTGTGAGCAACTGTATTTAGTGTGGATTAATTTTGATATTATTGTGAGGAACACAATCCGTAATTTATCCATATTCCCTATTATACCTATACCTGGGATATCTAATTAGTTACCTATCTCTCATAATGTTTGTAGAAGGGGGTTGATTATAACAGTAAGGGAATTGTGTAGAATTAACAGAATGAATAAACCGGATCGTACATTGCCTTTGACAGGCAAAATGAGTTTTTTGGCGATGCTGAAAATTATACCTTAATCGATCTGAAATTTAATCTGCAGTCTGAGTAATCGGAGTGGCGTGGCAGCTAAATTATGGCGGTGATATTATTGATAACCCTTATCTTAACTTAGCTTCCATGATAAGTAAATAATTATCTTTAAAAAGGCATCAGATTTCTCAGATAAGAATTTATGAGGATTCTAAAATGAGAAGAGCTGAAATATATATAACGCAAATTAAAATTGGGTTTGTCAGATAATTAGGAAACTGCTATTAGTTTTCATGTTTTAAGTTAATAAATTTTTATTTTTACTTACCCACGTATGTAATATATAGTAAGGGCATATATATAGTAAGCATTGCGATCAGGAAAATTATTGAATCTCAGATCTAAACGAAAATACACGTTTTGAGGTCCTATTAGTCGAAATAACTAAGTCCCACAAAATCGCGCGCGTGTGTATGTAGCAGTCTATCCCAAAAACTAAAAGACGTAAGAAAGTTATATTACGTATTTAAGACTGGTATATGACAAGGATGTTGCAGGGAATTTTTTCTGGGTATCGACTAACCGAAAGTGGTACTTTATATCAATGATAATAAACATTTCTACGATTTTCTCAAATAGGGCTCAAACGATTTTGATTAAACTCAGTATATCAGTGTATTATTGTAGATCAGCTAGGTCTTATCCACGTTGATTTCATCTTACAGGACTTAAATGCCAAATGTTCAATATGTCTTCCTCTAAAGTATCCTAAATTTGGTTTATTTAAAAAAAAAACTGTCCCTTACCATCATTAAAAACAAAAAATAGCAGAATATAAAGTATGAAAGAATTCGTTAATTGGCTAAAAGAAAAAAAAAATGTGTTTTTAGGTTGAGAATGTATTTTCGGCATACAAAGTCGTAGAAGATAATGGAGTTTGACAAAAAAATACAAATAATAATGTCTGAAAACTAATATTATTTAAAGGAAACCTCATGTTTTCAAGGAAATTAAATGAAATTTCTTAACTAAATATAAACATTTAAAATTATTTTTAAGTTTGAAAAAAAGGCTTTGATATACACCGAATCAAGACAATACATTTTTAAAAAACTATTTCATTCTACTTGCGTGAAAAATAAGTGAAATATAAAGATATTTTTACGAAAAAATGTTTATAACCTTAAATACATTTACTGTGGTTTGGTACCTCTAGAACCGATTTTACATTTAAATAATTAGGTATACATTGACTATTTATTAAAAAAACAAATACTCCATTTGTGAAAACACATTATGAGCTTATAATCAGTGTTACGACTTTCCTCTTATCGATACTGTATTTAATAACAAATAACTTTTTTTTTTGTAAATTTTCAAAGGATAAAATTAAGAATTTAAATACATTTAAAAAGTGATAGAGATTTAATTTCTATAATGCTTATTGTGCAGTAAATGTACTTTTAAATCTCCATTTGTCTATAGAGCTCAGATACTGGAGTTATGTGATTCAAATAGACTGAAGTGGTTATAAGATTTTATTGCCTACAATGGATATAACAAATATGGTTTATATTATTTTGGTGGTCTTGATAAGGTTTTGTATTGACAAATATGAACAAAATTCAAAAATATATTGTTCAAGGTTTAGGTCCATTAAAAATTCGATTCAAAAACTTCTTGTTATTGCCAGACTAGAATTGCTTTTCGAAGTAGAGCAGTAGGTGAAAGTTGTGTGTTGCACGCACCGGATTTTTAAATTTTTTATGAAAAGAAAAAAATAAGGATACAAAATGTTCGACTCCAGCACAATAGAATATGTAAATTTTTGTGATAAAAAACAAGTCAAATTCATTTCAGGCGTCCTTAAGAACCCTGAAAAACAAATCTGCAATGAAATAAAAAATACATGATTTTTTGGAATCAATTTTATTTGTGAATATCTAAAACTATTTAAACTAAAAATAGTGAAACACTATTGTGTTTATTCTATCTGTTTGAGAGCACGAAGATTTTTTTGAGCAAATGACTAACTCGATATTTAAGTTCCATTGCTTAAATTACACAGAGGGAATGATTATTATTTTAATAATGCTTCCAAACGAGCCTGTAGTACAAACTTAAAATAAACTATCAAATATCCCTCTATTAGTCAAAGCCTACAATTATTCCTGTGTTAAAACAATGGAGAAATTTCAACTTTTAATAATAAATATTGAAAAGCTATTCAATATTTAAAAACAGATTTATTATCCAATTAAATATTATAATTAACATATTGAAATTTCGGTAATCGTCTCGAACAGTCCACAATATTTTCTCTTTTTCAGAACGAACTTAAAACCCCTCACACCCAAATATATACACCGTAATACGAATAATTATCTGCAACTTCTCGTTTTATATCTGTTTGTAATTATATTATTATAAAGATAGATTAAGTTATGACTCGCATTTGTTTTTGGATGAAAAAAATTGTTTTCCTTTTTTTTCCCTTTCCCACATTGAAATTTCCCTAAAAACAGAACGAATTGCAAACACTGGTAACGACATCTAGTGACTTAAAGTGGAATGACAGCTGTATAACTACGCCTATTTTTTGTAGAGTTGACTATTTTCGGAAAAGATACTGAGTTATAAATTATTACGGTGATACTTTGTTGGATAGAATCCTTAAAAAAAGTATTGAGTAAAAATATGAAGATTTTGAGATGAAAAATTAAATCTGATTTGGGACTTGAATGATAGTGTCGAAGATTGTTGTAAGAGTGCGTGTATTAGTATATATAAACCGCCGCCATTTCTGTCTTGCACAGTCCAAGATGAGACCCGTTAACGTGCGCATCGCTCCAGTGAAGCCTGGTGGAATCCAGCGTTCCTTCTTCTGGTTCCTCATGATGGCGTTCGTCTTGATCTTCCTCTTTCAGATATCCATCCCGATAGTCATCTACAACAACCTCTGCATCATCCAGAGTCAACTCCCGAACAGCACCTTCTATTCAGGACTTCAGGCAGGTAATGATGTGCAACCAGTATATTTCCTAAGCCTTCATCAAGTGATTGACGATAACATAGCGATTCTGACCTGTTGGGGTGGTTCATTCCTATTTCTTGTCGCTTTCATGCTATTGGGATGCATGAGATTGAAGAACCTGATGGTATATTTCAATACCAGATGCACCTGCATGCGTCATGATTTTGTTGATGATCTGGTGATGAAAAGAGCCAAGGCTGAAGCTGATAATATTATGAAGAATAAACTAATGGCTGGAGACTTTATGAAAATGTCAGCTGAAAAACCGAAACATTTCTAAACTTCTCAGTTAACTGGTGAAAATTCATTTATTAATCTTAACATATGTTTGCAAGTTAAAAAATCCAAAAAAAAAAATTATGACATAAATACATTTATATGTGATAGACATTACAGACTCCACTATAGATAAAGATTAAGTAAACCAGAAAAAAATTAAAGATGGAAAACTGGCTCTTAAGTAATGTATTAATTTTTTTCAAATTTTACACTTATTTTTATTTTCAATGTAACAATTTAAGTTTAATATTGTATTGACTAAAACTAACAAATCATTTTATGTATTGTTAAATTTAATGATATAATAAATTAAGTTTTGTTTAACATGCTAATTTAAAAAAAAAAATGTAATTTTTTAAGTTTCAGATTTTAAATGTGTTATTTGTAAAATAATATCAACTTTTTAGTCTGTTTTACAATCACATATAATGTATGAAATAAAATATTAAAATGTATTAGTTTTTATTTTACTTTTTACCCTTTTTACCTACAATTTTAATTTTGAAGAGGAAAAAATTTTAGGAGCAATCAATCTTATAAAATAAAATGGTAAGTTAATAATAATTTTTAACAATAAAAAGTTATAAATAAAATTAAAAAGTTACTAATCATACATAAATGTTAATAATAATAGAATAAATTAACATAAACTTTAAATTAAAGTTTAAACATTTTTAAATGATGATTAAGTGATTTGATAACAGATAATTAGAAAAAAGTGTGGTTAATATGTATTGGTTCAAACTTCAAAGAAGATATTTCACTGTATTTTTGTATTGGTAAATTTAATGATATAATATATTAAGTTTTGTTTAACATGATAATTTAAAAAAAAATATTGTAATTTTTAAAGTTTCAGATTTTTAATGTGTTGTTTGTAAAATAATATCAACTTTATAGTCTGTTTTACAATCACATATAATGTATCCAATAAATTAGTTTTTTATTTTACTTTTTACCCTTTTACCTACAATTTTAATTTTGAAGAGGCAGAAATTTTAGATTCTAGAAGCAATCAATCTTATAAGAGAACATGGTAAGTTTATTATAATGTTTAACAATAAAAAGTTATAAATAAAATTAAAAAGTTACTACTGAAACATTAATATTAATTATAGAAATAAAGTAATATTAACTTCAAATTAAAGTTTAAACATATTTGTGGATTGATGATTGACTGTAGTGAATAATTGAAGAGAATGATAATTGGGATGATTATGAAAATAAAATAGTAAAAAAATGATTTATTTTTACTATTTTATTTATAATGATAACCGCAACCAACCTTCTCTTCAATTTAAACATTTTTAAATGATTATTAGGTGATTTTATAGGTCAATATGTATGGGTACAAACTTGAAAGAAGATATTCCACTGCATCTTGGCTGTAGTTATAGTCAGTGATCAAAAATACTTTTATGTTATCATAATATAGGCAAGAAAAGAATTGTTTTTAATTACAGGCTATTAGACAATAAAACTGTTGGTTTTAATTATTTGTTAACTATAAATTTGTTTACAAATTCAATAATTCATATTTTTATTTATGAAAGTTTTAAAGATAGGTGTGTTTCCATGAAAAGTAAACTGTAGAAGATATGGGGAAGAATAAAGTATGCATATGGAAGTTGTGTTTATTTTATATTCATAAATTATACACAACCTCTCCAAAAAAATAAATAAACAGAGTAAGTAAAGGTAAAACACCTTATGTGTGAAAATATTTTAAACTGTAAATTATATATGAGAGTGTTAGTATATTATGATTTAATTACTTTACTCAATTAAATTATGTTGATTAAGCATTTTTTTTCTAGGAAGTGAAAAAAAACATTTGTAATGCAAAACATAGGAATAAGGACTTAAAATAAAGTAAAACATAAATAAGAACTGTATAAATTTTGCTTACATGTATATATTATTTTACATAAGAATTCTGTTTAAAAAACCAGAGAATATAAATCTATAGGTTTGGATGTTATAAAAATAAACATAACTGTCAAAAAGCATAGTGAGTTATAAATAAGACTACAAACCTTTAACATTGTTGCAAACAAACCAATTAGCAATTTACCTGATATTTATTCATACAATATTATTTATAAATTTATTTACATAATATTATATGAATAATCAAAATTAATTACCTACCTATGACAATGGATAAATTTAGAGCTATATTCTGCACAAATAAATATTTCATTAATAATTCATGATTTGAAACTGAAGACTTTAACTTTATTTTTAGGATCTAGCTTAGTTTTCGTTGGATAATTTTGAATAATCATTGGGCAGATAATCGTAAATATATCTAACATTTTCCTGTTATGATACTAAAGAATATATTTTTAAAAATGTATTCAGCTAATAACATTTATAAATAACAGTAATTTAATATTTTTAATTGTTAAATATTTAAGGCTTTCTGGAGTAATTTTTTTTAATATGAAAATCAATATAATTGCAAATATTCACAGTACTTTTTTTATTTTAACAATTTATTTAATACAATTATTATAAATACTTAAATTCAAAATACATTTATTAAATATTTTATTGATGTGTATACTATATATATATATATATATATATATATATATATATATATATATATATATATATATATATATATATATATATATATATATATATATATATACAGAAATATATATAATTAATTTTAAAATACATAATATAAGATAAATTTGACCCAAAATTTTATAATTTGAAACTAACATAAAATACTGGAAGATATTTTTATTTTTTAAAATATGAATTGCCTGGATCGTTGTTGCTCAAGTGCTCTCACCTAGTCTCCACTGGCCTCCAGTTCAGTGACACGGCTGAAAGAGAAGCGCTCCTGGAGCCAAGTTTTGCCTTCCACACATGGAAGAGAAAGCCTAGCGCGGAGTCTCTTAGGCGAATGTAAATATTATATATATATATATATATATATATATATATATATATATATATATATATATATATATATATATATATATATATATATATATATATATATATATATATATATATATATATATATGTGTGTGTGAATGAGCTTTAGAAGAATTATGTTTTTATTTTTAACATATTTAATTTTTTTTCTTTAATTACCTCAATTTATTTATCTTATCTTATATATATATATATATATATATATATATATTTTGTATGAGTAGATACTTTTAGCTCTAATGCTTATTGCCCTTGAGTGTGGCAGATTATACTAATATTCAATAAATATATAATAAAGAAAAAAAAATATGCATAATTCTGTAAATTTACAGAGTACAAAGGGAGATGCATTAAATGTAAAAAGCAGTATTATAACTTAAAAAAATATAAAATAAACATCATAATCACTTATTATTAATTAGTAGCTGAAACCTCCTAAAATGGAAAAATAATATTTCGTTTTTTCATTGGTTCATATTGGTTTTGGTGTTTGCTCTAAGCGAAATACTTAAAGTATTACAATATGTTATCTTTTTATACCGAAATTTATATACAGCTACTAAATATAAGCATGTGTAAAGAGAAAATATAAAAACTTTAACTTTAAAGTCAGTAATTATAACAGTTCTATCATTTTTTTATTTTATTTTTCTTTGTGTTCAAGGATCACTGAAACCTGAATCAGCTACTTTCAATGTGTAATAATCAGAAGCAATTTAAATTGAAACCTAATTGTTGAAGAAGGTGTGATCATGAACAATTATGCTAAAGAATGCAAAAAAATATTTATATAAACCTTACTAAATAACCTTTTTGGTTGAACTATTTTTATTTTTTTTTGTTGAAATTAACTTGAATGAATCCAATGGATTTCATATTTGACACGAAACTTTCTAATTTTAATAAGAATTAATTTTTCATGTGGTTTGCATGTTCCACATATATTAACTTACCAACCAAATTAATGAATTAAATTCTGCTCAAAGTTTGCTATTCAATATTTAATTATTTAAACCCATCATTGTTACTAAAGCTATTAAAATAAGTAGGTTAGTAACATAGTTTCTATCAACTGGTTATCACTACTTGAAATATTTTTAGCGGCATGCATTTTTCTCACAAAATACGATAAAATAGTATTCAAACAATTGGTAAACAACAAAATGTATTGTTATTTTTAATTTTGTTAAATTAAAAAATATGTTTAAAGGTTTCCATTCAGTTCATAAAATTAATTTAGTTTTGATAGAAATATTTTGTTTTCGTTAATGTTATTTATCAAATAATATTATTCATAATTTTTTCATTACTCTCTATTACCTTACACGATTCTTTAAGCTAGTTATCGTCTGTTTATTGTGAAAAGTCACTAAATGGCGTTACATAACCTTAAATAACTAAGAACTCTGAAGATATTTCTCTTTATGGGTCTAAATATACGCTTCTTATAACGGATTCTTATAACGGTGCCATTTTCATAAGTCTAAATTCACAAAAACATATTTGAAAGTTGACCTATATAAAAAATGTATCACTTAGTGACTTTTAGCACTGAACCGAAGATATTAATGTTTCTAAAATGTTTAGCTTTCCAACGACATGTTGTGGATATCTATAACTGCCTAAAATCATTTTTGAAACTTTGTTTTCAGCCTGGGATGATGAGTCACTTTTTAATTTTTCTCGTTTGTTACATATGAAATTCTTTCATAATTTATATTTATTATTAATTTTATATATTCTCATCAAGCCAGACTGGTATATATTTTAACTAAATCATATTAAAAGTACTTTAGAAGGTGCCATTTTGATAATTTGGCTTTTAAGCCTTGTCAATTTATATCAATGAGGATAAGGCCTATCTGATATTAAACACCATTTTATTATACAGCCCTCACAGATATTTGATAAATACATACAAAATTATCTCTATCAGTCATCCAAAAGATATCTGCGGAATGTCTGAAAGTTATTATTTTGTTATTATAAATTAGTCATATATATAAAATACAAAATTTTGATATGCCTTTTTTATATAGATAAAATATGTTTAAAAAAGATATCGTCGGTTTTTTTTTTGTTGCAAAAAAAGTACATTTTTGATATAGGTTAACTTTTAAATATATTTATGTGAATTTCGACCTTCTTATCACAAAAACACCGTAAGTGCATGAAAATGACGGAAAACCTTCTATTAATCTTAAATATTTATATTTACATTACATACACTTAAAATATGTTTTATTTGTTATTTTTCTTCCGTTTATTTCGTACATTAGTGCGAATGCGACTTATCTCACTATAAACAACGACTTAGTGACAAAAATGTTGCAATATTCAATAAATATATTTTTTTAAATATGAGTTAATCTATTTTATGGTTTATTTTTAAGATTTCGATCGCCTCTTTACAGCCATTCTTTTACAACAACCATCGGTTCTTCATTCGTCGCATCTTAGGCATTATTAAATTTTTTTTTTCTGATATCGAAAAATC